TCTGAGGAATGGGAGGGGGAGTTGAAATGGTTCGCGACTGGGAGGTGCAGTTGTTTATTGCGAACCGAGCATAGGTGTTCTGCAAAGCGGTCCCCGAGCCTCCGCTTGGTTTCCCCGATGTAGAGGAAGCCACACACCGGGTACAGCGGATGCAGTAGACCACATTGGCAGATGTGCAGGTGAACATCTGCTTGATGTGGAAAGTCTTCTTGGGGCCTGGGATGGGGGTGAGGGAGGAGGTATGGGGGCAGGTGTAGCACTTCCTGCGGTTGCAGGGAAAAGTGCCGGGTGTGGTGGGGCTGGAGGGGAGTGTGGAGCGGACAAGGGAGTCACGGAGAGAGTGGTCCCTCCGGAAAGCAGAGAAGGGTGGGGAGGGAAAGATGTCTTTGGTGGTGGAGTCGGATTGCAGATGCCGCAAGTGTTGGAGGATGATGCGTTGGATCCGGAGGTTGGTGGGGTGGTACGTGAGGACGAGGAGGATTCTTTTTTGGTTCTTATTGTGTGGACGGGGTGTGAGGGATGAGTTGCGTTTTTTTTTGGTATATGGGCTGTTTTACAGCAAGATGGTGAGATGGGCATCAAACAGCCTGTTAGTTACGCAGTGGTAAAGAAGACAATGAGTCTTAGAGTGATAGCTCTCCATCATTTTGAGATTTACATCAACAATGTTGAAGAAACTATTTATATGGACCACAATCTTTCGATCATCTTAGGAAAATTTCAGCACAAAAACTGGCAACTATTTCAGTCCAATGAATTTGACACCCAAAATTTGTCACAAATATCAACTTGTGTAATTCTCCAACTATGTAATTTGAAACTTATTCATGTACCTGGAAAAGACAATGTTATAGCAGATGGTTTATTGAGAATACATGTGAAGGGCACTGAGTGATGCGGTGCCTATGAATTAATATGAAATAAGGTTGCTGTGTAATTCACTATGTTTAATGTCAACATGTTACTATTGTTGATGTGACAAAGAAGTAGTGTTATGACAATTTTTGAGTATTGAAAATGCCTCTTAAAGATTCATTTTTATTGTTCTTTGGGGGTAGGTGTGATGTAAACTGATTATATATTAAAATTGTATATTTTGGACTTTTGAAGTTTGAACTAGTGACATGGGGTTGCTCTGTCTGAAGGGGTTTAAAATATTTCTGTGGCTATGATTTTCTTTTGTTTGAGACATAATATGGGGAAAGGGGCTAAAAGGAATTTGTTTGGGTGAGCAATATAGACAGTATCATGCATTAAACTTTCAGATAGATGATTCTGATTTGTTTTGGGCTTGGGAGAAACATCCATAATGGAGAGAGAAAAGCTTTTAAATTTCAATTTGGGGCAGTTTGCAGAGTCTCGTCTGAAGCTGAATGTATAAAACAGTTGATCCTGAGAAAGGGAGGTAGTTCAACACTGTTAAGAAAGAAGTTACCTCACTTTAGGAAGTGTAGTTAAAAGGACCAAAGCATGTTTGATTAAAATTTTGGAGGGATTATTTGAAGTTGTGGAAGTCTAAGCTCAGTTGTATGAAGGCTCCAGTTAGAGTCGATCAGATTTTCAAGATGGGGCATGGAAGCCAGAGTTAAAGTAAGCCTTATAGATGTGAAATAGAAAGGAATTCTCTCTGGTGTGAGTAATGTAAAGGAGGGCTTTTATGATTATACTTTATTGTGTATTTTGAAAACTTTAAATCTGTGTTATTGTAAATAGTTTGATTTGTTCTATTTAATCTTCATTTCTTTTGTGTAATAAACTTCTGTTTTATTGTTAAACACGAATCTACAGCATTGCATGTTTGCGTTTCAATGAAAGACCACCTCGACCTATGAAGGCAGATTTCACTCTGGGATCTAAGGAAGACAAACAGGATGCTGGAAGAACACAGGAAGCTAGGCAGCATCTGGAGGAAAGGAGAAGTCAACGTTTTGGGACTTCAGGACTCACTCCAGGATCTGACTTGTGCAGTAATAACCTCAACTCGGAATATAAAACACAGGGAAGATCTGTTGCCTAGAGTGGAATGATCAATTGCCAGGGAACAGAGATTTAAGGCGATTGGTCAAAGGGTTAGAAGAAACATGAGGTAAAACAGTTTCATCCAGAGGGTGATGGGTGGCTGGAAGTTGCTGCCTAGTTTGGTGACTGGGGCAGCAATCCTCAATTCATTTAAAAGGAATGTGGATCAGCTCCTGAAGCACTGGAATTTGCAAGGCTATGGAACAGGTGCTGAAAAGTAGAATTAGAATGGGTGAATAGTTTATTCAGCTGGAGTAGACATGATGGGCTGAATGGAATCTTTCTGTCCCAGAACATTTCTGTGGTTGTAAGTTCCTATGATCTGCTCCCATTGTTCTTTCACATAATACATTCACTGTAATGTGTTGAGTTTAAAAAAGTTCTGGTCATCTTTTGCCAGAGTTCTTTGCAGCAAATCTGAGTTTCTTCGTATTTACTCTTTCCATTCGTGTATCTAAACATCTTTTATCTTAGAAGAATCACCCCAATTTACTAGTGTTTTCAGGAAGTGGCATCCCTCAGGTTGGGTATCGTTCTGTTATTGCAGTTAAACCTGGTGAATGGAAGATCACTTGTGGCCTGCAGTCAATGTGGTGCTGATATTCCGGTGATGATTCTGGGCTGGGAATCCAGTGATGGTACCCATTAATTGGGATGTGATTTTCTTGTGAATTGTTGGCCTGGTTTGCCTGTGTATCAAGTAACTTGTTGGTAACTCTCTGGGAAAGGAGGACTGGTTGAGAGTAGATGAATTGCTCTTGCAGTGAGTTGGCACAGGTACCAGAGAGTTGAGGCCTATAGAGGTCCATGGCAGGTTGGCCATGGTCCCATAGAATGACAGGACAGGCTTGTGGGCCAAATGGCCTACTGCAAATTCTTATGTTCTCATATATTCTTACAACAGTGTCCAAGAAATGAATCTTTAATTCCTGGAGACTCTAGGACAATACTTAAAGGTTGGTAATCCCAGGGTCCTGAGGCCAATAGTTATCCTTTAACCGTTTATCGCATCTTCCGGACTGGGATCTTGCTGTGCACAGTACCGACACACAAACACTGGCTAAAGTCAGCATCCTGAGGATGCGAGAGGCGCTGCAGCAATGCAAGTCTGGGTCAGGCCGGGGCTTCCCTGTTGCTAAGGCGGCGTCCCGCCCACTTCCGGCCAGTGGGACGGCGAAACCTGTCCGGGTGCTTCCGGTCCCGCTTGGAATGGTTTCCGGGCTCTGCAGAAGGGAGGGGAATCGAGCTGGGAGTTCCGCCCCCTTCAGCACGGATCCACCATGGCCGAGTCCGGCAGTAAATTTGGGGACATCCAGCGGTACCTGTCTGATGGCCGCTTCCCGTCCACCTTCTGCCCGGCCAAGAAAAAGAACCTGAAGCGGTACGCGCAGAAATTCCAGCTGGAAGGTGAGAGAGAGGGGCACAGCCCTGGGGTTGGGGGGGG